CATGTATTTTTGTGGACTCGTGAGAACAACAGAAATAGGCGATGTACTATGAGTTCATATAAACAGCGGCCAAAAATAGAAGGAGTTATCGTAAGTTAATGAAATTTGGTACATGTTATTGGCCTAAAGAGCAACTGACAAAAAATTGGATAGGCCGGACCAAGATTTGGTATACCTCCCGTATAATGGGTCTTGAGAAAGTCAAACTTTTTGGCCTATAAAATCTTTAATATTCAAACAAATTCAATGAAAATTTGCAATTTACATTTAATTAGGCCTATAAAGCAACTGACCAAAAGATCGGACCAAGATTTGATATACCTCCCATACAAAGGGTCTTGAAAATTTTACTACTTTGGGCTATAAAATCTTTAATATGCAACCAAATTCAATGAAAATTGACAATTTACATTTACTTATGCCTATAAAGCAACGGACCAAAAACTGGGTAGACCGGACCAAGATTTGATATACCTCCCAAACAAAGGGTCTTGAAAAATCCGATTTTTGGACCTATAAATTGTTTATATTCATCCAAATTCCACGGAAATTTGCATGTCTTCGTCCCAATTACATCAAATTTGGGCGAAGACAGTAATACGTGTTGTAATTTAGTTGTTGGCCCATATTTCAGGTACCTACTATACCAAAAGTCCCTACAAATTTAACTTTCTGTACTATAAAATTAAGTATAGTAGTTTTATTTTTGTTATTTTTATTATAATATAAAAAATAAACTAAAATAAACTAATAAATTATTTTTTTATCATTCGCAACATTTTCAAAACATATATATATATATATATATTTATATATATATATATATAACAATGTCTTCCCAAATGTACGATTTAGTATCATCCACATTATAATCTCGGGCCTTTACTTTATCGCTGTTTAAGGATATTACAAGGTCGGATTGTAATATAAAATACTAAATAAAATCCTTAATTAACTCGGCTTTAACAAAAGTTCGGGCTGCTACTAATTATTTGTTGGCATGACTTGTTAGAATCTTGTGAAAGTCGCTCAAAAGGTATTGTACTGCACTTTGCGTATTAATATTATGTCTCAAATGATCTGATAAATAAGTATAATCTTCAAACTGACTGAAAATTTATTTAAAAGCTATATTTTAAAACCAATTCTCCCATATCTCCGCTTCGAATAACGATTTCACCAATTAATTTTTTTTATGTAAAATATTGTATTATTACTATGTTCTGAATCCATCTTATCCTTCCTATTTGGCCTTCAAAAACTTATTTAATTGTATACATAACATATTTGACCATTCGCTTCTAACCATTTCGTGAATATGCCATATTTTTTCATAAGGTGGTCACCAAAAGAATTAAATAACTCTTAGGACCGCAGGACTCCGCCGCGATTTTTTTATTCCTTAAATAACACACTTTTCACCATTCAAATAAAAAAATTAGAGCTAACCTTTTTTAAACTTTTTTTCTGCTCCACTAATTTCAAAATTTGTTTTACAAATTTGATGAACTAAGTACTACAAGTGTGGACGACTGTATACACCGTATACAAACTAAAGCGAATCCTAGTTTTTACATCCACAGCAGCCAAAATAAACACTTTTATAATAACCGTTAATTTGAATATTCAAATATTTGAGCATCTGAAAAACACACCCATTTTTCGAAAATATGGTAAAAAATCAGTTTATAAATAACTAGCATAGGCCCGATACGTTGTTAGCGAATCTTTTTATAGTAAAAAAATAAACATTAATTTAGCTACACAATATACTTTTGGATTAAGTATAAATTTTTGATTAGGTATATAATTATAGGTTTTATATTTTACATTTAAAAATCTCAGATTTTACTCCGCATTTCTTTCGAACAGAAACGTTGATGCTTCTATCCTACTAAATCGATTACAACTTACTTATTTTTATATTTTCTAAAAGTGTACTATTTATTTTCTCGATCCTCCCGATGAAACTATGAAAACAGTAATCTGATACTAATGGTACTAATGAGAAGATTTCCATTAAAATTGCACAAATTTAGTATTTCTGGTACGTTACGTGTTACAAAATCCTAAATTGAAAAAAATTGTCTATATTTTTTTAGTACATTCTCGACATAAAGATCTAGCCCATTATTCATTACAAGGGAAGTCGCTGCAGTATACTATATTTCCAGTATGGTTGGAAACATCATTGGAAATATATATCAGTCCTATTATTTTAGAAATGTTTGAAACATTTGGTTTAAAAGTGGCAACACTTTAGTACTTGTTGTGTTCAGTGGCTTGTTTGCATAGTTTCACCTATTTGTATATGAAACATATATACATATATGCATACCATTAAAGAAAAATATTGTAGTCTGTATGGAAAAAAAGTCCGTCACTACATGAAAAATCTGCTCTGAAAAGGAATGTTCTGGTGTGATGCCAAATGTTCGAACCTTGACACGGTTGAATTTAATTCGTAGATGCAATTTCGCAACAATAGTAGACATAAATACAACTTATCTATTAAAGACATTTGTAAGCCACATTGCCCAATATGCCTGATGAGCCGCTTAACCAACGGCGAAACGCGTCGCATAGTGGTGGGAATGTAGTATTTCTCTGGCTTTCCTTTTCAGTGCAACTCCGATCATGTAGCTCATCTCGAAAAAGAAATTAATAAAAAATAAATACTAAAATTCAGATATTTGTCTCTAACCTTTCCTATTTAGAACTTTTTACTACAATTAAAAAACAACCTTTTTTACTTTGTTTTAAACACACAAAACTTCAGGACTCCATCTCTACTCGATCTGTCGTATACAATTTTTAATACATTAAGTACAAATGTCATACAAAATTGCGAAGAGCACCGTTTTTCATAGAAAAAGCCTTTAACATTTTGTACAATTTTATTACTAATTTCAAAATTATATTACTGTATATCATAGTATTTGTATAGTTAAATCTATGTACCGCGTTTCAGAATTCTATTTCTTCAGGTTCCATTATACTAAAGTATTTATTACCAATAGCAATAAAGTACCAAATGTCATATCAAATTTCAGATATCCATGGCATTGTATTATTATTTCTTTTTATTACCATTTTAGTACCAATTTCCAAAAAAAAAAAAAAAACAAAAACAAAAAAATATGAATAGTATTCTATTTGTAATAGTTAAAGCTATATGCAAATTTTCACATTTAGATAATATATAACTTTGTAATTTTAAAATTTCCAAAAATGGGTTTGCCCCTCATTCTATTTAATAGTTTATATATATATATATATTTTTTTTTGCACATCATTCTATTTGTAATAGCTTAAGCTATATACCAAATTTAAGAAGTCTATACAGGTAGGTTCCATCGTAGTATAACATTCACTTCCAAAATTTGTTCAAACATTCTGATTTGCTTATCATTGACAAGGCTGCATACCAAATTTCAGACTTCTACTTCCAACCGTCCCGGAGTAATACAGTTTTAGTACCGTTTAGTACTAATTTCCAAAAAATATTTTTCCACGTCATTCTATTTGTAATAGCTCAAGCTACATACCATGTTTCAAATATCTATCTCCACCGGTTCCATTGAAAAATAATATTTAGTACTTTTTAGTACCTCTTAGTACTAAATTCCAAAATTTTTTCACACATTCCACTTCGCTCGTCCTAGACAAAGCTACGTACCAAATTTCAGATTTCTACATCTAACCGTTCCCCCGTAATACGGTTTTAGTACTTTTTAGTACCTTTTAGTACGAATTTCCAAAAACACCGTCTTATCACACGCCTACGCACTAAACCCCACCTCTTTTATATATATAGATGATCAGATTTGAACCTTTGTAGAGACAAAACTACTCGACATATCGATGTACAATTTCATATTTATTCTAATTGGAGTATTTTCTATCAATCCTCATCAAAAAATTTGTCCTCCGTGGTACTTGGTTTTGACCATTTTTGGCCGCGGTCGTGACACTGTGCGATGTAAACCAACAACACGCTTTGCTCTCTATAGCACTCACTCTAACATACTATAGCATTGAAGTAGCATGAACTATTATAGCATGTAGTATCGCATCGCTTCTCGCTTGCACTCAGACGTCAGACTAAGAGGGAGGAAAAAAATGAGCGCAAATAGTAGTAAAGCAAAGCGAAGTATGAAAATAAGTTTGATATTATTGAAATGTTTATATTTTTTAGGAAAAATAGTGGCTTTCATACTATTATAAGAATTTTTACTTGTATTCTAGTGAGGTACATGTACAATATGGGAAAATAAACAATGAAAATATTCATTAAATTTTATTTTTTGTGTATGAGCAGCAGTCTAATTATGTTAATTTGGCCATTTTAATATGCGTAAGGGAATACCATTTTCTAGACCGTGAATACATATCTCAAATAACACCGGTTTGGTGTATAAAAAAATATGTGTAAAATGTTCACTTAACAAAAGCAATTAGTTCTATTTTTATCACTTATAGTATACAAATATCCAATACAATTTCTGTTTTCGTACTTTGTTACATCTCAAATTAGTTCTATGTAGTTATACCCTACGCAACTGTGTGGTACGTTTAATAAATGCTTGTGCCTTCCTTTGTGTTTGTAGCATCGCAAAATATGTGTCCAGCATCAAACAATGCGGAATAATTATGTATATTTTAATGGTGATCGACATACTTGTAAATGTTCAAAAATATGTTTACTTTTAAATGGCATCTGATATGCGAAAGTTGGGAATAAGTACATACCCTAATCATTTTCTGAATGCAAAAGGTATTATATGAATTTCTGGTGCATTTTCATAACACAAAACATGAAACAACGATCTTCCTATGGTACCATCAACACATCCCGATATTTCATTGACACTCAGTTTTTGTGACAATGTTGCATTTCTCTTAAAAGCTTTAGTACAAGGGTGTTTGCGTAGTGTATAACATGATCGTTGCATACCGAGTTCTCTATTTGTTTTTATTCAGCATTCATTCATGCTTACCTTTTTGGGAGCTACCTCACGTGTTCCCCAGGATACATCATTCATATTGAATACGGAATAGATGAGTAGTAACATGTACATGGATGGTATGGTTATGTAGTAAATTAAACCGCAAACAAGGGCACCGGCTTCTTGTGGGTGCATAATTCCTGAAAATGAACAAATTAATTATTGATTTCATTTGGTCTGCGTTGCGAATCCATGTTGCAATGTTGTCGGGTAAAAACCATTTGATGTAACCGCCAATACACAACAATACACATCGGAACGATTTCCAATTAACTTTTGCTATTTAAATTGTATGGCTAATTGAAAATGTTGTATGTTTATATATGTGAAATCTAGTACATTTAAAATGATCTCATAATGCTACTGTAATTACAAAGTACCAAATCACTTTGATGGAAATTAAATCCAAAGCAACTATTTGAAATTCTCTGCTATTTGTAATTTCGACATATAAAATTAAATTAATTGACTTTAATATGTTTCTATATAAAAATGAAGGATATGATGGCTTATGTTATTTGTTAGGAATATTTCTATTTCCACTTACCTGCAATAAATATTTGTAAAAATACCAAAATGAAAAACAAGGAAGCTGGAGCCAATGGACCATCATCTATCATTTGTATTATAATTCCGATAAGTACAGCCATCATTACTAGGCAATATACTGCACTAATGACAAATGCCAACAGTAGCTAAAGAACACACAATAATTAATTAGGCACACACCAATGTTTAATAACCAAAGACAATACCTGATATTTTTGCTTCAAATAAATACACGAGAGAATAAATGCCAACAATGGAATGAAATTCCACAGAAATGATGTCCAAATGCCCGTACTAAATACCGTGACAAATGAACCGATCATCATTAGAAAAATTGTACCGGGACCGAGTATGGTACCGACCATTAACATGGCCTGATAGAATATATATGGTCGAGATATGGAACTGTTGTTCTTCACCACCATTTCGGCATCCGAAAGTAAATCAAAAATATTTGCTATTGTGGATGGTACCCAGCGACGACGTTGATTATAGAATTCGTTAAAAATTTCAGGTGAATGAGTGTAAGCATCGGAAGCTGCAGAGTATTCAACACGTAAGCCTTGTTTAAGAATTAGTGTACAGAGCCAACGATCCTCCCCTTGATCGTATTGGACATAATGCATAGGTTCCTGAGATACCGTGGTATATTTTTTCATCACACTATTTTCCATCAAGGCGCTGCCACGGAATAGACTAAAACAACCGGGACTGCAAAGAACGCAGCCAATGACGTGCTCTGTAGCTTTTTGCAGCCAATGACCTAGAAAACAAATGATGATTTATAAACAATATTACATATTTGGGTATTTTTTAGTATAAACACTTTAATAAATATTTAAAGGGAAAAAATTAAAAAAATAAAACATGAAAACCTCCAAATATTCATATTCCACATGCAAAGTGCGATTCAATGGCAAAAATTTGAAACCACACTTTTTTCTCTATAAATAAAATATTAATGCCTACCAATGGCATACTCGAAGATTTGATACCAAACCATAGGTCCCCGGCCAACTGGATGAATGCGACCGCAGGCAGCACCCAGTTCATCGATAGCCTTCATACGGTCTATCAGCAGCTGTACAGCCTGTGGCTGAAAATCAATGTCACCATCGAGTGCCAGCAAAAAAGTGTTTTCTGCTATTACGGCTTTACGCTTCGCCGACACATTTTCCAATTCCATTATACGAAAACCCAACAAATAGTACATATACATGACTTGTGACCAGCGTTTTTTGTGACGTATCTTGTCCTTGTTTTTCAGATGAGCAATGAGTTTGCTGCGCCCGGGCAGAGTCCATACTAACCGACCGCCGTAAGGTGTTTCAATTTTTACGGGTGGCTTGATCTTAATGTTAACGCCATACACTTCGAACGCAGCCTTGTCGATGCTGGTAATCAGTAGCTTCACATATTCATTGAGGGGAGGATTTTTGGGATTTTCCACATATTTGTCATCCAATATGAAAGCATCGTCAAAAAATATATTAGCTATGTACACGGGGAGATAAAGATGGAAAAAAATTAAATATTAATACGTATTTCATTCAATAAAAAATTGGTGGTGAAAGTATTTCACAGAAAATTGTATTTTATGTTTATCCGTTCGATACCCAAGCATGATAGAAATGTCTTTGTCTATATGTTTGTAACATGCAAAAAGTAACGAGAATCTCTCGCTCGATTTATGCATGTGCGCCATGCATTTTTGTAATCAAAGTAAAGGCGGTGGAAATCGGTTCAGATTTTTTAGCTACCATATATTTTCATCCGATTTCACGACGTCTCACCAACGACCAGTTTACTGAATTGCGAACATAAAACCAAAATCATTTGAGCAGAAAATGTTTTAACCTTTTGAACACCTCTTATATGTACCAAAAAGTTATTATATAATATTCTGTGATTTCTTTCATCATATTAATATCAATTTTCTTGATTTCAATTACAAACCTAGTTCGATCACAAACGTAAAACCTAAGTAGTTATCTCAACTAATTATACTATTTCAATAGTTTAAATCAATTACCATGTTCGTCTTGCAAATATTGTTAATGAGTAAATCTTCTTATTAGGATTTTTCAAACTGTTGACTTTGTACGATGCGTTCTGCCCGCAAAGTTACAAACAGCATATTAGAATACGTATCTCATGTTGATTAATGTATCTCATGCCAGGTTTGAGGTCTAGGCTTGTCTCCCATTTTACAAATTGCAATCAAATGTGCTCAAATATAATTGATCTGTAGAGGTTTTAAACATACAGCGAATCATTTATGTATGTTACAAACTGTCTACAATTAAAATTATTTGAAACATAGGCGTTATCTTACCTCGTAAAACAAATAAACCGATTTTATCGATCTCGTTTTTTTATCAGTATCTGACATTTGCAATGGCGTATATGCTAAACATAAAACAAATCACCGAGAATAATCGTAAAGATATTTTTCAATATGAGAAAACCCGGTTTTAATACACACAAAATCTTTAAGTAATTTTAACTTGAAATATTTAATTTTACTCATATGGAGAATTTTTTATGGTAATCGACCTAATGTACATATTTTGGTTAACTGGAAATATCTTTGCTGTGTGCGCTTCTGGGGTAATAATAAAATGTACAACACTTAAGTAGTTGTACACACAACAAATGTCAGTTCTTTTATAGGATAAATGCATTCAACTTAGCATCTGGTACACACAACCACACCGACGCATGATTCAGTAGACCTGTAGATATATTTGCGGAATATCTGTACTGCGACATGCTTAGTATGTTTCGGAAAGGAAATATGCAATGAATAACAAGTAGAGTTGAGTGTATATTATTGAATTATGCACTCGAAGAATTTTAATAGTGGATATGAAACATATATTTGACGAATTTAATGTTTTATTAACAATACCAAAAAATTAATCATTATAATATTGCATCTTAACGCACTGGTTTTTTTAACTTCTGACGAGCTCCACCTAAAGATGTTTGTCATTCACAATATAATCTAAAGGTTTTAATAAATAACTATTAAATTAATGATCAGGATTAAGAATGCAAGGAAATGATCAACGTCGGACGGGAGGGCTATATTATATACTACGCTACTTTGGTTTTTATTTTATTTTAATGCATAAAAAATTACAAACGGGGGATATAATAAAACTTGGCACACTTAATTGGAAACTATTGTCATTAGGAAACACAAATTGTATTTGGTATGCCAATTGCATGAAACCGGACCTAATTATACATATGTATGTATGTGGAACAAAATTTAAATTTAAACCTTCTACGGCTGAGGTATACTCACGTAGTCAGGGCTCGTCACTGAATATGATATTTGCTGCATGATCGAGAGATAAATGCTTAAGATGTGTTTTCACAAAATTCAAGAATTCTTTTTTGTTAATATATGATTTTATTCACTTCCAAGCACGACTTCGGTTAATGCTTCACTTTAAAACAATGCCAAAGTTCTGAGTTCTGTTCCTGTCAAATTGCCTTAAGGATCTTGGTTAGATTTCATTCTTTAGAGTAGAGACCTAACGGCTCTCAGTAACTCTATATCAAATCACTCGTGACAACTAACCCTAAATCAGGACTAACGACACTCTTGACGACTAAACCTAATTAGAAAACGAACGGCCCTCTGTGACGTTAAATGCAATTCGATACCAGCGAACCTCTGTAACGTCATAAAAATTCAATGCCAAAGACCTGTCGGCAGTCTTGACGGCTATTTCTACATCGAGAAATAATGGCTTTCTGTAACATTATATAAAAAAATCATTGACTGAGACTTGTCGAAATTCGTGACGACCATCCCGATATCGAATCGGATCCATGAGACATGCCGGCCGTCTTGACGACTGACACTCACAAAACAACCTAAATCCAGACACCTGTCTGAAATCTTTGCGATTAACATTATATGTATATTAAACGGCATCCCTTCGTTACGTTAAACAAAATATCCAGTACCAGAGGCCGTCACTCTTGGTGATTACCACTAACGGACTCCTGTAACTATTGATAAAACTTAATACAAGATACCTGTCGGCACTCTTGAAGAAATAATAAATGCTATCTGAAATTTATTTACAAAAATTAATGGAACGCAAACGAATAGAAATACTTCAATCGAATCAGATAGTATATCCTCAAAAATAGCTATGTACAAAGACATACCACAGTGTGGTGTGGTCATTAAATCAGTATTTATGCAAAGAACAACTAGAAAAAAATTACAAATGTTGTGTTTATTTGTACTCTTCGTGGCAATTTCCCAACTTTGGTTTACTTTTTCCCGGAAATGCCCATATGATTTTCAAACATAACAAATTTCCAAAATAAACAAATTTCCTTTGTAACCATATATTTTTCACAGTGTATCACTAGTATAAACTTGAATCGATACCACATCGTCCACAAAAACTGTATTCATTTTCTATCCACATCACAGATGATGATGATGCATTTAGTTGCCACATTTTCCGATAATCACCTTTAATAGAATAGAAAATATTTTGTGGCCAAAACATATTTACATACTTTCATGCAAATTCAATCATCCTGTGTTGACGAAGACCACAGGCATACCGAAATGAAATTGCATGACCAGGAAGGCAACATTTATGGAATTTACCATTGAAAATTATTAATTCCTGAGTAAATGTGTTTAAGGACAACACGTGTAAGTAAAGTACCATGATTTTGAAGCATAAATATGGTTTGAACAAATTTCACTTATTATCTTTCATTTAATGTAGATAAAATTCATAGTTTTAGTTTACTTATATAATATTAATTCATTCAGAATCTATAATAACCTCCTATTCTCTTCATACAGTCTGTTGTAAATATAAGAAGAAATGGCTATCAAAACACTCACTGATGTGAGAAGTAAAAAATATTATATTCAATTATTTGAAAATTGGGAGAAAATGGACCTCAATTGTCCAACTCCAAAAATTGGTTCTTTTATAGTACATTCAGTCAAATTCGCTTGATTGCGCACTGGTTAATTGGCAAAAAATGTTCGAACGTAATAATTCTTTAAATCTTTCGCAAGTTTACACCGTTTAACTGAAGCTCGGCTTAAATGACAAATCTGTTCATTGAAAAGGAAATTACTTCCAAAAATTCATATTTCCTTGAATTTAACTCCGCTTGATTGAAAAATTTGCGTTTTCGCAATGCTCGTCTTCAATTTACCTTACTTAAAAAAAGAATATTTTTGTATTTGGAAATTGATATTATATATCTAAACTAGCAGACCTGGCATAGTCTGATTTTAGGTACTTTGAAAGTAGTAACAATTACCCTATAAATTGCTCTTAATACGGTATTTCATGTAGGGTAAGAAACTCCTCTGTAAATTGTGTTTTCAAGATTTTTGCGTATTCTTCTCAAAATTTTCTTTCATAAAAACCTTCCCACTTCAATTACAGATAACTGAAAGAAAATTTTAGTCAAATCGGTCCCGCCGTTCTCAAATTGATGAGCCACAATACGTTTCTTACATAATTTTTATAAGTAGATTTAAATTAATTTTGCTTCAATTTGATAAGTTATTATTTTTTTCGTTTCACTCCCACGCTCTGTTCACGAAAACAGGTTATGTATGAATTGGTGTCGGAATACTTAACGTCAATAAGCACACAATCGGGCAAAATGCAACGAAAATATATAGCGCGCCATCTGTCGGACGATCTTAAAATTAAACAGAAACACTCCTCACGCCCCACAGAGCATATACATAAAGTTTGATCAAAATAGGTGCAGTAGTTCTTGAGTTACCGCGCAAAAACACAAAAAATTAAATATTGCGCCATCTGTCAGATGAACTTCAAACTACACAGAAACACTCCTCATGTCCCATAGAGGCTGTATACACAATTTGGTAAAAATCGGTGCAGCAGTTTTTGAGTTTAGCGATCACGAACATACACGCAATTTATATATATATAGAGATACCCTTTTTGAAATGAATTTAATATTTTTTTGCGTTTAATAATAATGCTCAAAATACTTTAATTTAAAGTTATATGAGGCTATAACTAACCAACATTGATTACCTCTGGTAGGAAATGCCGAAAATCTGAAAGTGACCGATATAGCTCATTATCGAACTTTACCTTTTAGTTTTACAGTGCAGAAAAAGATCAACGTTTTTAGTGCACCAAAAAATCAAAGTTATGCCGATTGGCACGAAATTTTGCACAACGTACTGAAGTGTATACAGTCTGTGTCTAATGTGTGTCAAGTTTTGATGAAATCAGTTCAGATTTAGATATAAATATTAGGTCAATCGAAAAAACATGAAGAGTTTGGTGCATCATTCATCTAAAATCGGACGAAAATACATATTGTAGACCCATTTTGCTAGTACGTAGTGCAAATTGGCTTTAATTTGATTCTCTGGTGCTCAATTTCTAAAAATATATATGGGAGCTATATCTAAATCTGAACCGGTTTCAAATAAAGCTTGG